GAGAGAGAGAGAGAGAGAGAGAGAGAGAGAGAGAGAGAGAGAGAGAGGGAGAAGTTTAATCACATGCCATACCGGGTTGCCACACCAAGATACAGGTTGGGTCATCTCAATGCTCAGTGATCAGCCCAGAAATAGAAAGACTTATAAGCATCACCATAGCCCCTTTCTGTAGTAGAATGCATCATAATGTAACACTTTCCAGTTTCCTTAAACAATGAGAGTAAACTGGAAGAACCGGCAAAGGGCCATGAAGACAGACTGAAGGTCTGAAGGCCCACAGTTGTTGTGGTATACTTGTATATTGGGGAAATTTCCCAAATGGTCATCCAGAAAACCAGAAACTGAAAGAGGGGCAACCACCATCGAAAGAAATCCCATACTCTCTGTAGCCTCATTCTTGCAATTTCTGGGCTAATTCAAAGAGAGAACTTTTAAAGGCTTGTAATTCTGTCTTTAAGTATCTAACCTTCCTTTTTCATGACAAGGGGAAGTAGTTTTCACTTTTTTCACCATTGTCTTCTCTTTCTCAAGGCAAATCTAAAAGCTATTTCCATGTACATAAGTAGGCTTAGATCTGTCATAAGATCAGGTAAAGGAAAGGGACACCGCCATGGCTGCAAACAAGAATGCTTGCTAGAAAAATAAGACTCTGCTTAAGTCATCCTGGTTTGCACTGCCAAGATACAGGTCCAGTGACCCAAATCCAATAAAATCAAGAAGCTTTATCATCACAACCTACAGATAAGCAACAGCAATGATACTCATACAGATTGAGATTTGTGAAAAGGAAAGGATAATGACCAAGAAAGAAGAAGCAAATAGTGTGAGAGATAGAGCAGATCGCGAATAACCAACCATTAGAGCGCCAGCTAAGCATGAAAGAAGGGCTGTTGCTTTGACAGTAGCAGAATACAGAAATATCATGGGCATGCAGATGGAAGGCAACACCCTTAAAAACTTTCCATCTGTATGCAGCCTCATTCTTGTTCTTGAGTTGAGAATCCAGTTTCTATTTATGGTGTAGAAATAATGCAAAAGCACCTGTCAATTAATATAAAAAAACCAAGAAAGGGGATCAGACACATATAAAGGCAAAATCTCAAATGTCATTGAGGCAAAATCCAGTTTCTTATCATATACTTTTGTTATAAGGCCATTTCTTATTGTACTTTTCATGATATAATTCGATTATTTCATATTATTTCATATTACATATATTTGTCTTAAAAGACATATTATAAACTAATTGAATGAAATGTACCAAAATATATCAAAATGGATACAGAGGATTCGCATATCCCGTCCCAACTGACTTGAGAATGAGGCAAAACTGGTTGATATTGATATTGAGGCTCAGATCTATGTTATCATCAGGTAAAGAGAAGCCAGACACCCCATGGCTGCAAGCAGTGGTTGCATGCAAGAGAGAAGATTCTCAATTGCAGGTCATACTGAGATTCCGAGCCAAGATACAGCTCGAAATTTTTCATGCTCATTGAGTAAGCACAGAAAAGAGAAAGAAAGAACTGGAAGTATCATTACAACCCTTTTTCACCTGTCAATTACATATTTTTATTTTAAGCATCAGCCGCATTCCCCAATAGCTCTTAAGAAGAATCTCGAAGCCAAGACAGCAAAGAATAAGAACACAGCAGAAACAAGGAACCAATAGATCAGCAGACATTAACGAAGTCACAGACAAAACCCCCAGAAACTGATTTAGTTTTCTTTCTTTCTCTTTAACTGGTAATGCAGAGTGAGGCAACCACCTTTTATAGTTCCCTTCTCTTTGTTACCTCATTCTCTCCTTTTTGGCCTATTCTAAACCTTCAGTCAACATTGACCTCGCATTACAAGACTCAAGCTAAGTTTTTCTTTTTTGGTAATTAATCAGTTAAATTTCCAGAAAGTTAATATACTGTTTAACACAATCAAGTATACCATCACAACATCCAGCTATTATCACATGGGAAGCGTAATATCCTTCAACATATATTCATAATTTTTGGAAAATATGCACTCTGGCATAGTGATCAATGAAGTGGTTGGAGACAATGAGGTCTCATGTTCAAAGTAGTGTTTCTTTCATCTGCCCAAGCCTTGGTGGGCAGAGTTACGCGGCACCTGTGGAGGTATCGGTGAAATATTCAAGGTGCGCCCAAGCTAGCTCGGATACCACCATCTTTAAAAAAGAATATGAGAAAATACGAATAGGGTAACTGGCATAAAAGCAATATTTATAAAATAAAAAATCACGGGCTTACCAGAGAAGGAGGGCAACCACCGTTACAAAAAATCCCACATTTCACTCTAATGCCTCATTCTTGAGCTGCTACTGATAGAAAACAATGGCTATACTTCACAGCTCAAAAAAGCATTAGAACTTAAAAGGGCGTGGGTTCGATATATCCCACATCAATAAAATCTAAAAGATTGATATTTTCTTCACCAAATTGAGGCTCAGATATGTGTGTCTGACAAAGGCAAAAGAGAAGCCAACCACGCCATGGCTGCAAAAAACCAGTTGCATGTGAGTGAGAAGAATCTCAATCACAGACCATATCGGTTGCCACGCCGAGATACGGGTCGGATAATCTCCATGCCTGAATTAGTTACCCCAGATAGAGAAAAAATCATCATCACTGCCTCATTAAGATCTGAGGTCCCGTAGTTGTTGTAGAATAATTGTGTGTGTATTGGGTCTTTGAATAATATGCAAACTGCAAACAAATCCAGAAACTGAAGTGTTATCATCTATCTTTCTCTCTTTCCTTTTTTAAGGGCTGTTGGTTTGTTACAAAAAGGGAGAATCATAGACACAGCAGAGAGGGGCAACCACCCTTGAAAAAAAATCCCATACTCTCTCTGTCGCCTCATTCTCGCCATTTCTGGCTAATCTAATTCAGAGGGTAATATAGCAGTTTTTCCAAAAATTGATCAAAATTTTGAGGCTCGGATGATAAAAAATCAGGCAAAGGAGACAAGGATCGCCATGGCTGCAGACCTCAGTTGCATCACATAGATGAATTCCGGGTCGCCCCGCCAAGATACGGGCCGCTCCAATGCCCGACCCAAACATCTTTAATCATCACAGCCTCTCATCCGTCACATTAAGGAGGAGAAAAAGAAGTTGGAGAAGCAGAAGAAGCAAGTGGTATGGGTTCAGATATTAAACCCTAAACTGTAAAAGGGACTTTGCGCAAGTTTAAGGGGCAATCTATGTATTGAACCATTTTCAACAATGGTGGTTTATTATACCGCATTTGGTGCAAAACAGAAAAGGAAATCATCGGCGAAAAAAACAGAGAGAGGGCAACGACCATTACAGACTCCCCATTGCCTCTCCGTCGCCTCATTCTTTTCGTCTAGAGTTTGCACAATACTCTATTAAGCTGGTCGTTTTAAAGTAACGGTACCTTTACTTCTATGTCCTTGCTGATAGTGAATAATGAAATGAAAAAAACAAATGATGAAATGATATTAGGGCAATTTAGTCACTCTATTCAATCCCTCGAATTTCTTAGGCTTTTTTTTTT